ATACTCAACTGTTTCAAAACACAGCTCTAGCTCTCAACACAATCTATTTCTCCAACCACACACTCCCAGCTCAGCGCCTGCCTCACTGACTCATCATTTGGATGCAAAACTATTTTATAAAACTCAACTGTGACAAATTGGAACTCCTAATCATCGGCCCAAACTCACGTACCCTCCCTCTCTTCAGACCCTCCCTCTCATCAGACCCTCCCTCGCCCTCTCATCAGACCCTCCCTCTCTTCAGACCCTCCCTCTCATCCACCGCTGCCGAAACTCTGATCCATGACTTCATAACATCCCGACTGGATTACTGCAACAGCGTCCTTTACGGTTCACCTGCATACATCCTCAATAAACTTCAATATGTCCAAAACCCATCTGCCCGTACGCTCACCTCCAGCCGACGCTCCGACCACATCACCCCTATCCTCCACGACCTCCACTGGCTCCCCATCAAACACCACATTGACTTTCAAATCTTACTTAAAAAAAAAAAATCATTTTTTTTTTTAAATAATAATAAAAATTATAATATATTAAATAAAAAAAAAAAAAAAAAAAAAAAAAAAAAAAAAAAAATCGTACTTTTCACCTACAAAGTCCTCAACAACCTTGGTGCCTTCGCAGCAGCAGCAGCCCCCCCCTCGCAGCTGGCCTATACTTTTGAAAAAATAACTCCAAAGAGAAAAGTAACACTATATGGATGTTGAGGTAAATAAGCCCTGTGCTGGGGAAGCCAACATACCATCCAGTTTGAGTGTGTGACTTTACTAAATTCATTGCAGGATAATAAGGCGGATAGATGAATAATCTTAGACCAAGTAATCGATCAAAAAGAGAGATCACATACCTTTCCGATGGTGGAAGTACATAATCAGAGTCACTACTGTCCGGGTGTAGTTCTGGCTGCAGGAGGTCCTCGTCGTCCGACTCGGAGTCGACCGGTAAAATAGCTGCCCCGCTGTCTTCAGCCAGAATGGCCAGTACCTCCTCAGTGGTACAAGTCTTTTTCCTGCCTGCCATTGTTGCAATTGGCTTATTTGGCAAAATGGCAAGAAAAGAGAAATAAACAACTGCTAAATGCAAAGAAATCACCGTTCTTGAAACCTGCTGTGCGTTATGATGCGCCAGCTGCCAGGCAGACCTATACGTTACGCGGGACCCTAGAGAGCCTCAATAGAATCGAGGGGCATTTTCATAAATCCATGTAAACATTACCATTGGTCAGTTAAAATGACTCGTACACAGCATGCTCTAAACCAGATGCCCCTACCTGCTCAACATTACACTCCGCTTATTAGCAATAAAGGTCATGATGGATTATCAGTAATCATTTCAAAGTGACAGAGACATTGAATTAACCTTCAGCAGCGTGTTATGCCCTTCAACACAACTTTTGATCACAAAACAGCAAAGGTAAGACATAGTTATAGTTATTTTCTTTTTGGTCCGATCGGGACTTGAACCGGCGACCCTTCGGTTCCAAGACCAGGTCCCTACAGGCTGAGTCCCTACAGGCTGAGACCCTACAGGCCGAGTCCCTACTCCCTACTGGCCGAGTCCCTACAGGCCGAGTCCCTACTGGCCGAGTCCCTACTGGCCGAGTCCCTACTGGCCGAGTCCCTACAGGCCGAGTCCCTACTCCCTACAGACTGAGTCCCTACTCCCTACTGACTGAGTCCCTGCTGACTGAGACCCTACAGACTGAGTCCCTACAGGCCGAGTCCCCTACAGGCCGAGTCCCTACAGGCCGAGTCCCTACAGGCCGAGTCCCTACAGGCCGAGTCCCTACTGGCCGAGTCCCTACAGGCCGAGTCCCTACAGGCCGAGTCCCTACTGACTGAGTCAGTCCCTACTCCCTACAGACTGAGTCCCTACTCCCTACTGACTGAGTCCCTGCTGACTGAGACCCTACAGGCTGAGACCCTACAGGCCGAGTCCCTACAGGCCGAGTCCCTACTCCCTACTGACTGAGTCCCTGCTGACTGAGACCCTACAGACTGAGTCCCTACAGGCTGAGACCCTACAGACTGAGTCCCTACAGGCTGAGACCCTACAGACTGAGTCCCTACAGGCTGAGTCCCTACTCCCTACAGACTGAGTCCCTACAGGCTGAGTCCCTACAGGCTGAGTCCCTACAGGCTGAGTCCCTACTCCCTACAGACTGAGTCCCTACAGGCTGAGTCCCTACTGACTGAGTCCCTACAGGCTGAGTCCCTATTCCCTACAGACTGAGTCCCTACAGGCTGAGTCCCTACTGACTGAGTCCCTACTGACTGAGTCCCTACAGGCTGAGTCCTTACTCCCTACTGACTGAGTCCCTACAGACTGAGTCCCTACAGACTGAGTCCCTACAGACTGAGTCCCTACTGACTGAGTCCCTGCTGACTGAGACCCTACAGGCTTAGACCCTACAGACTGAGTCCCTACAGGCTGAGTCCCTACAGGCTGAGTCCCTACAGGCTGAGTCCCTACTCCCTACTGACTGAGTCCCTACTCCCTACTGACTGAGTCCCTACTGACTACTGACTGAGTCCCTACTGACTAAGTCCCTACTGACTGAGTCCCTGCTGACTGAGACCCTACAGGCAGAGTCCCTACAGGCTGAGACCCTACAGACTGAGACCCTACAGGCTGAGACCCTACAGACTGAGTCCCTACAGGCTGAGTCCCTACAGGCTGAGACCCTACAGACTGAGTCCCTACAGGCTGAGTCCCTACTGACTGAGTCCCTACTGACTGAGTCCCTGCTGACTGAGACCCTACAGGCTGAGACCCTACAGACTGAGTCCCTACAGGCTGAGTCCCTACAGGCTGAGACCCTACAGACTGAGACCCTACAGGCTGAGACCCTACAGACTGAGTCCCTACAGGCTGAGTCCCTACAGGCTGAGACCCTACAGACTGAGTCCCTACAGGCTGAGTCCCTACTGACTGAGTCCCTACTGACTGAGTCCCTGCTGACTGAGACCCTACAGACTGAGTCCCTACTCCCTACAGAATGAGGGTGTTTCTCAATGTCGAGTACGCTTGCTTGGTAGCACGTCTTCCGAGTCACTTGCTTCAGAAGCGAGGCAAGAATACTTCCTGGCATTCGGAAAACGAAGAGTGGAACAGGCGAGCAAGTGTGCGGCATATGAGAAGCCCCGCCTTACATTTTCCGCCACAGATTTGGGGAAATTGGTCCGTGCGCAAAGCATTGTGGGGATTTTAAGACCGCGGAGTCGACACATGAGCAGCCTCGAAATTTCTCGCTACGAAGTACGCCGGGCTCGGTAGATTTCCAAGTATGCTGGACATTGGAACAGTACTTCGGCGGGACTCGATGACGTAGCATGCTTGAAATAGTGGCTCTGGAGCAGCTTTACTCGACATTGAGAAACACCCTGAGTCCCTACAGACTGAGTCCCTACAGGCTGAGTCCCTACTCCCTAATGACTGAGTCCCTACAGGCTGAGTCCCTACAGACTGAGTCCCTACAGGCTGAGTCCCTACAGGCTGAGTCCCTACTCCCTAATGACTGAGTCCCTACAGGCTGAGTCCCTACAGACTGAGTCCCGACAGGCTGAGTCCCTACAGGCTGAGTCCCTACAGACTGAGTCCCTACAGACTGAGTCCCTACAGGCTGAGTCCCTACAGACTGAGTCCCTACAGGCTGAGTCCCTACAGGCTGAGTCCCTACAGACTGAGTCCCTACAGGCTGAGTCCCTACAGGCTGAGTCCCTACTCCCTAATGACTGAGTCCCTACAGGCTGAGTCCCTACAGGCTGAGTCCCTACAGACTGAGTCCCTACAGACTGAGTCCCTACAGGCTGAGTCCCTACAGACTGAGTCCCTACAGACTGAGTCCCTACAGGCTGAGTCCCTACAGACTGAGTCCCTACAGGCTGAGTCCCTACAGACTGAGTCCCTACAGGCTGAGTCCCTACTCCCTAATGACTGAGTCCCTACAGGCTGAGTCCCTACAGACTGAGTCCCTACAGGCTGAGTCCCTACTCCCTAATGACTGAGTCCCTACAGGCTGAGTCCCTACAGACTGAGTCCCTACAGGCTGAGTCCCTACTCCCTACAGACTGAGTCCCTACAGGCTGAGTCCCTACAGGCTGAGTCCCTACAGACTGAGTCCCTACAGGCTGAGTCCCTACTCCCTACTGACTGAGTCCCTACAGGCTGAGTCCCAACTCCCTACAGACTGAGTCCCTACTGACTGAGTCCCGACAGGCTGAGTCCCTACTCCCTACAGACTGAGTCCCTACTGACTGAGTCCCTACAGACTGAGTCCCTACTCCCTACAGACTGAATCCCTACTGACTGAGTCCCTACAGGCTGAATCCCTACTGACTGAGTCCCTACTGACTGAGTCCCTACTGACTGAGTCCCTACAGGCTGAGTCCCTACTGACTGAGTCCCTACTGACTGAGTCCCTACTGACTGAGTCCCTACAGGCTGAATCCCTACTGACTGAGTCCCTACAGACTGAGTCCCTACTGACTGAGTCCCTACAGGCTGAGTCCCTACAGACTGAGTCCCTACAGACTGAGTCCCTACTGACTGAGTCCCTACACACAGTAAAACAGAGAGGGTGTGTTTGTTTCGCTCACCTGTGTGGTGAGGAGGATGGGGGAGCCGTGGTGACTCACTGCTGGAAGGAGGAACGTCCCCCCCGCCGTCTGCGTCAGGATGAGGGGGGGCTGAGACATCAGGGGGGGGGCCGAGGTGGAGGGGAGGGAGGAGGGGGGGGGAAGGGAGGAGGTGAGGAGAAGGGAGGAGGAGGGAAGGGAGGAGGAGGGAAGGGAGGAGGAGGGGGGAAGGGAGGATGAGGGAGGAGGTGGGGAGAAGGGAGGAGGAGGGGGGTGGGAGAGAGGAAGGGAGGAGGAGACGAGCTGCAGGAGAGGAGACGCTGAGGAGAGGAAACTAAGAGTTAGCAACGAGCTAACGTTCATCTGCAGGCTATTACTGCTAACACACACACACACACACAGTTACCTGTCGGAGGGGGGGCAGGTGGAGTGGGCCTGGGGGGGGGGCGGGGTCTCAGCGGCTGGGAGAGGAGACAGAAATTCGTCCTCTACAGAAAAACAGACAGGTATTAATCAAACACACCCACTGCTAACGAGGTCAACAAAAACAAAAAATGAAGAAGAGTGTGATGAAGAGTGTGATGATGAAGATGAGTTATTGTCTGTTTTCTCACCTGGTTGACAGTACTCCTCCTCTTCATCTTCATCATCTTCCTCCACCTGTTGCCATGGCTCCAGCTCCTCCTCCACACACTCCATTAACAGCTCCGTGTCCATGTTGCTATGGAAACATTTCAAAAGAAACTTTATTGACACGTTTCTCTCAGACGGGGGGGGGGGGGTCGAGGAGACCCTGAACCTGGAGACCCTGACCCTAGAGACCCTGACCCTAGAGACCCTGACCCTAGAGACCCTGAACCTAGAGACCCTGAACCTAAAGACCCTGAACCTAGAGACCCTGAACCTAGAGACCCTGAACCTAGAGACCCTGAACCTGGAGACCCTGACCCTGGAGACCCTGAACCTGGAGACCCTGAACCTAGAGACCCTGACCCTAGAGACCCTGAACTTGGAGACCCTGGCCCTAGAGACCCTGACACTGGAGACCCTGAACCTGGAGACCCTGAACCTGGAGACCCTGGCAGTACCCTGTGTTATATGAAAGAGAATATCTCTGAGACATTTATAACATATTATCTGAGGAACAATGAAAACATCTACATCATGAAGTCCTAAAGCAGATCAAATCCACCAGCTTCACTTCAGCCGCGTGCCCACAAGGCGCTGCTCGTCACCGTGATAAACACCAAACAGAGAATAAACTAGGTAGATAGATACTAGTGTAGATAGATACTAGTGTAGATAGATAGTAGTGTAGATAGATAGTAGGTAGATAGATACTAGTGTAGATAGATACTAGTGTAGATAGATACTAGTGTGATAGATACTAGTGTAGTAGATAGATAGCTAGTGTAGATAGATACTAGTGTAGATAGATACTAGTGTAGAATAGATACTAGTGTAGATAGATACTAGTGTAGATAGATACTAGTGTAGATAGATACTAGTGTAGATAGATACTAGTGTAGATAGATAGTATTAGGATAGATACTAGTGTAGATAGATACTAGTGTAGATAGATAGTAGTGTAGATAGATACTAGTGTAGATAGATACTAGTGTAGATAGATAATAGTGTAGATAGATACTAGTGTAGATAGATACTAGTGTAGATATACTAATGTAGATAGATACTAGTGTAGATAGATACTAGTGTAGATAGATACTAGTGTAGATATACTAATGTAGATAGATACTAGTGTAGATAGATACTAGTGTAGATAGATAGTAGATAGATACTAATGTAGATAGATAGTAGTGTCGACAGATAGTAGTACCGGGTTGCAGAGTTAACCCTCGCTGCAGCCTGGAGGCTACAGGCTAGCAGGAGACATGTTAGTGTGTCTCTTTGTTTTGTTCCGTTACAACGACCTGTGCGGAATGCTTTGACGATACCATGTTTAACACGTGGTCGTGCCAATAACGCCCCATTGTATTGTATTGTAAACAGAGGGGCTAACCCGAACTATAAACCGAGCGCTCCCTCAGTGTGTGTGCGGGACCCGGACCTGAGGAGAACCGGGCCGTGCTGGTCTTACTAATCTTAATGCATTCCTATCTTAATGCATTGCTATCTTAATGTATGTCTTACTTGATGTGTTTCTTACCTGCTGCTCCGGGTTCTGGTTCTTCTGCGGGCGCGCTCCGGTTGAGGAGGCGAGGGGCGGGACTTCCGCCTTCCGGTGATTGGCCCGCAGATATCTTACGTCACTTTCCTCTCAGACAGCGCTGCCTCTGATTGGTCGGTGAAATGTTCCTTCCTGCTGCGGGTTTTCAGTGTTTAAAGGGGCTCCCGTTCCCTCACGGTGCATGACTAACAAACACAACAAACAAACTCTACGGAGGCCGCTTGGCGCCTTAAACATGCCGCACACGCTCGGTGCAGGCCGCCATCTTAGTTTTGTTGTTCTGCTGTGGGGGGGTGGGCGGGGCTTCGGAATGACGTCACGAGTTGACGCTTTAACAAACAAAAGAAATGTCGAAATATTTACAAATATCTGATTTCTGCTGCTGTTGTTGTTCTGTTGCTGCTGACTAAATAGCTAATGTGAAGGTAATGACATTCAAACATTGGTCATTTTACAAACCGAAAGCCTCACTGCCTCACTCTATGAACGACCGACGCCTTGCAAACGATTTGAATTAGTTCTACTGTAGATTTGAAGACAAAGAGTTCAGTCCTGACACCATCCCCCGTGACACCTCCCAACAGCTTCAGTCTCACACCTCCACGTCCCCCTCCCCTTCAGACCCCATTTACACAGGAACTCAGGAAAACAAGAACAGTGCTGACATATTCACGACAGAAAAGACAGACCAAAGTCAGCTTTTTCATTATTATTTTTGTAATTATTGTGCAAGGTATAAGAGAAACAGGGGGTTGTTCAGTTTGCGACTGAAGATATGTAGACTCTCTGCTGTCCTGACATCAGGGAAGCTCCTTCTACCAATCAGGAGCCAGGATAGCATACAGGTGAGTCTTTAGGCGCGTTCACACCAAGTACTTTTCCCACAGTAGTTCCTGAGAACTTTAGTTCATGAGAGCTCTTTTAGTTCTGATGAACTAAAGCAGATCGCGTTCACACCAAAATGAGTTCCTGGGGGTGGATTAGGCAAATGAGCCGCTGACGTCACTTCTTCTTCTTCTGCTTTGGTTTTACTGGCAGGCCGCAAACAACTTCACGGCGAGTACAGTAGGTGGCGGTATGCACCTTAAAGTTGCAATCCGCCAAAAAAACCGAGAGAAGAAGAAGAAAAAAAAAAAACTTCCGCTTCCGCTGTATGCTTCTGTTTACCTTCCGACCTCAGTCAGACACGCTATGGAGTTGACTGAAGTTGTGGTTTTGGTGCTCGTGTTAGACAGCTTCGTAACTGAGTTATTTAAGCCAATAACTCAGCCACAAATACAGATCGACCATTCAAATGCAATAGCAATGCTGATTCGGAGGCGAAGGCGGTTAAGAAGCCTTAACAAAAGGACTGGACGGCGACAAGCACACGCTATGGACATGTTTCGCCGTAGGACCAGTGGCGACTGGCCATTAGGGGCAGGTGGGGCACAGCCCCACCTAGTGTCAGCAGAAAGTATTACAAATAATGATTACAAAAATGCAAAAAAAAATATATATAAAATATATTTTAAGATCATGTTGAATCATCTGATTCGTCTGTACATTGCTGTTTTAGTCTGTGTTCTTCTAATTAGTGTCTACAGTGTGTGCCTATTGAGCTGTTTAGAGCCATGTGGGACAAAACCTGATTATGCCCCTTCCTCTCACTGTGAAGTGAATGGTGACTGTAAAAACTACACTGCGCATGCTCAGAGTATTTTGTAATGAAATGTGTGTGGCAAAAAAATAATGACCAGAGGGGCATGGAGCTACCATCCCCACCATACGTCATCTCAAATCATTCAGAGCTGATTGGCTGTAAGTATGTGTGCCGCGAAAAGTGTGCTGTGTGAAGAGGAGACGAGAGAGCTGCAGTGACGCGTCCTAAAACCAGGAAGTAAGCACAAAAAAGCAATGAGATTTCTCCAGAGGATTTTAGAAAATAGCTGTAAATAAGATCTGTGGGAAACGTACCTGTTAGATAAATGCACGTTTTGATTAGCCAGATAACATCCACATGTCTACCCTACTTATATAATTTTTTTATCATAAATCTATGGATTAGATTTATGATAGACTTTTGAAACTACAAGAACATAAGGAGGACTTTTACAAAAAAGTAATAGAAATGTTTGTCCAGGAGGATAGGCAAATGGACTTCATCTTCAAGTCAAGGTAAGACCGCCATTTTATTGAAAATGGGATCTTACTAAGAGAGAACAATTCAATATTTAAATGATAAAATTACATTTTTTGGGTATCCTTTTGTTGAACTGTCTGTTTAAAATTAATCGAAGCATCAGACAAAAAAAGCTTTTGAAAATAATATTATATTTTGGTTTAGGTCAAAATATAATATTTGTAAACCTGAAGAGTCAGAGCCTCAGCAGCCATGAACCTCACTGCACGTCACTGCAGAAGCTTATATATAGACATCTAAGTTTTTTGTGCCCCACCACTTTTGTACATATAAAAACGCCACTGCGTAGGACAGCTGAGGATGATGACCGTTATCACGCCCAAAGAACAGCAATGGTACGTTCATTAAATCACATTAATACTATCTAATGTAGGATTTATGGAGTTATGTAGGGCTAATTTCTGTCTTTGTATGTGTTCCAGATATGCGAATACTACGGAACGCGTCGTGTCCCGCGCTTTCTCTGAGTGAACAATAGAACCTCGGCCTGGTGGGAGAAGGTGGTGCCAACGTACACCAATGTGCAGTGGATCAAAGATTTCCGAATGTCCAAGTGCTCTTTTCAACTCCTCTGTATTCGCCTGGAAGCAACGTTGGGGAGACGCAACACCAACTACCGGGAGTGTGTACCCGTGCCTAAAAAAATCGCCATAGCACTGTGGAAACTTGCGACCAACTCTGAGTACAGGAACATCTCTCATTTGTTTGGAGTCGGCAGATCTACGGTGTGTTGCTGTGTGCAGGAGTTCTGTTCCGCTGTTGTGACGCTACTCCTTCCTGAGTTCATGCCATGGCCGAACGCTGATAAGTTAGAGGAGATGGCGTTATATTTTGAGGGCAGATGGGGTGTGCCACAGTGTGTAGGTGCAGTAGATGGATCACACATCCCTATTCTGAGACCAGAGGAATACCACAACGAGTATTTCAACCGCAAAGGCTGGCACTCGGTCATCCTGCAGGGTGTTGTGGATGGTAGAGGCCTCTTTTGGAGTGTTTTTGTTGGCTTACCAGGGAGCATGCATGATAGCAGAGTGTTCAGCTTGTCATCACTGGTTAGTTGTGTGGATAGAGGTGGTCTACTTCCTCATGTAACAAAGAATATTGGTGGACATGATGTGGGTTACTATATCCTTGGTGACTCAGCCTACCCCCTGCAAAGATGGCTGATGAAACCTTTCCAAGGAAGGCTCACACCCCAGCAACATGTGTACAACCGCAAAACAAGCCGAGCACGAGTGGTGGTGGAGAACGCTTTTGGCAGACTGAAGGGCAGATGGCGGTGCTTGATGAAGCGAAACGACTGCAACATGGACAATATCACAATCCAGGTGGCAGCATGTTGCGTATTGCATAACCTGTGTGAGCGTCGTGGTGATGAGTACAGGGAGGAATGGACTGCCTTACCGGCGACCCAGCTTGATGGGCCAGCGCCAGACATTGTTGAGGCTGGGGGACAAGACACGCGCACAGCCCTTATGAGGCATCTGAACAGCCCTCATGAGGCATCTGAACAGCCCTCATGAGGCATCTGAACAGCCCTCATGAGGCATCTGAACAGCTCTTATGAGGCATCTGAACAGCCCTTATGAGGCATCTGAACAGCCCTTATGAGGCATCTGAACAGCCCTTATGAGGCATCTGAACAGCCCTCATGAGGCATCTGAACAGCTCTTATGAGGCATCTGAACAGCCCTTATGAGGCATCTGAACAGCCCTTATGAGGCATCTGAACAGCTCTTATGAGGCATCTGAACAGCCCTCATGAGGCATCTGAACAGCCCTTATGAGGCATCTGAACAGCCCTTATGAGGCATCTGAACAGCCCTCATGAGGCATCTGAACAGCCCTCATGAGGCATCTGAACAGCTCTTATGAGGCATCTGAACAGCTCTTATGAGGCATCTGAACAGCTCTCATGAGGCATCTGAACAGCCCTCATGAGGCATCTGAACAGCCTTATGAGGCATCTGAAACAGCTCTTATGAGGCATCTGAACAGCCCTCATGAGGCATCTGAACAGCCCTTATGAGGCATCTGAACAGCCCTCATGAGGCATCTGAACAGCCCTTATGAGGCATCTGAACAGCCCTTATGAGGCATCTGAACAGCCCTTATGAGGCATCTGAACAGCTCTTATGAGGCATCTGAACAGCTCTTATGAGGCATCTGAACAGCCCTTATGAGGCATCTGAACAGCCCTTATGAGGCATCTGAACAGCTCTTATGAGGCATCTGAACAGCTCTTATGAGGCATCTGAACAGCCCTCATGAGGCATCTGAACAGCCCTTATGAGGCATCTGAACAGCACTTATGAGGCATCTGAACAGCATGGAAATTGACAATAAAGCTGATCTTTTGTACAGTGCATTTGGTTCTCTCTTTTATTTACCACAGTCAACAGACACAATTACAATAGTGCAGACACACCTTAGTGCAAAGATAAAATGTCAGTATCAAAACAGTACTCATACTGTATATTTGTATATTAATATGAGTATATTATTATGTTAAATGTGTGTTAAAGATAATGGGATGAGGTTGAAGGCTCTTAAACTGTGATAAATACATACATGTTAAGCATACACACCTGAAGAACTACGTACATGCAGCAGATCCTCTTCACTGTGTGTTGTCGCCCAGAGCCGCACCATACAGGTGAAATACTGAGTAGAAATACTGTCAGCAGAACAATGCACTTCATCAGTCATGACTTTTCAATATTTATAATAGTTTTTAAGTACTTTAAAATAGCTAAGTAATAATGACCAATGATGACAACCATTCATATTTTTTTGTTTATTACAAATGAAAGTAAAATATACACAAGTGTCTTGATTAAATGATTGTAGAATAAGGGTTTTGGACGTGTGCCCTGCAGCCATGAATTGCATTAAAAGCAGCAAGACACTTTGAATTGATTTCATTTTATACACATTTATATCTGAGTAGGCAATATCAATATAATGAATTACTGTAGTACATGTCATTCATTTATTTGTGATATAAAGTCTGTGCCTAGGTGGTGCATATTCTGGAAAATCAATTGAGAAACAAAAAGAACAAAATCTCAAATGAAGTTTAAATGACTTGTGATTTGTCTGACCATAGGAAAGAGTTAGATAAGAAATAATACCACTAACATGTCTGTTTGCTATATATGAAGCTCCAGCCAGGAGACGTTTATCGAAGCTTAGAGTAATATGTTGTTTGTTTAATTGTACAAGAAAACAAAGTGTACTTTGGTGTTTTACAGGTTTTGTGTCAAGATCCGTCACCCACCAAGAATTACTCCTGTAGATATTCTGTAAATTATCATTCCTAGACTTCCTGTTTCAAGTCATTTTTCTATTCTATTTGAGTTTATTGCGTCCTGGCTATAGTCTTTTATCTTACAGACAGATCTTGTTATTTTACTCTTGACAGGAAGTAAGTGAGTGTTTTTCCCAGGATGTAAAAGTATTCCTTTAAAATGTTGAGTTTCAAAGAACATTTTTGACATCAGAATCAAAAGAAATAGGATAACAATCACAGTTAAGACTGGCTGGCTGGTTGTGGTATGTCAAAACTCAAATGATGTGGCAGATGTGTTTTAGAGGTCCATAAATATCTAAATGATTAAAACTGTGATTATGGAAAAAAGTATTGCACAGTAAATAGGCTCAGCAGTTAACACACCTTTATTATATATCCTCCTGAGAGGAACTCACTACACTAACTCCTAAGATGTTCCCTTACTATAATTAATTAAAATATTGAACTCACAACACTGGTAATTACAAACTTAACCATTTCTCTTTCTATAAATAGTGTTTGTGTTGATGGACGCCATTTTGAAATACAATGGAATGATCTTTTTCAAAGCCACATATTTGGGGTGGGACACAATAAATAAAGCTTCGCCATTTTCATGGTGTCATGATGGTATCAGAATAATCACTTACATGTGATGTATAGGATGCTATCTTTATGCTCACCATAAAGATAAAGTGTCAGGAGAAATAAGCAAGATACATTTTCTGTTTAATCGCCATATAGGTTCTCTTTTATTTATCAGCAGCAGATCAATAAGTGTCAGTAGTATCAAAACAATATAATAACAGTGGCAATATATATATATATATATATAAAATAACAATAATAGGCTCAGCAGCAGACACACCTTAGTGCAAAGTTAGGTGTCAGTATTAATAACAGTGGCATATATATATATATATATATATTATAATAATACAAAATGAACTGTCCCAGATGTAGGCAATTTGGGGTGAAGTGTCTTGCCCAGGGACACAACGACATGCTGACTGCAGTGGGGTTTGAACCTGTGCTCCCCTGATCCGAACACCAACGCACTCAGCCGCTGCGCACACGCCTCCCAACAAGTCATTGTATAGTTTACTAACGACGACAAGTTTTTATTTTATTTTTAATTGGAGGCCTGTTGGATTTAACCAGCTCGCTTAGCACTCCCAGAAGCCCAGCCTGAAAGCTATTTTGTTGCTCCACCTGGCGCGCCGCCACCTCCACCTGGCGCGCCGCCGAGTCAGCCATCACCTTTAGAAGCTGGTCCTGCGATTCCTGGGCCTTGTGTGCATGCAGCAGCCGTTCGTCGTGCATCTCCTTGTTGGCCATGGCATGCCGGTCCTCATTTTCCTTGCTAGCCAAGGCACGCCGGTCATCCATCACCATGATGGTGTCCAGGAAGCTGTCATCCCGTGTCCTCTTTCCTAATAGGAGAAATAAGCGAAGTAGTTTTACAACATACTAGGAATGTGTTTACTAGCAGGTTGTCAACAGAGACAACATTGGACATGGTGCAGGCAGGGACAGTGTACAAAATGCAAGTGTAAAGTAGAAGATAGCATCAAATAGCTGACGCTCAAAGTGCCCTTATTTATTGTTTTGTGCTTGATGTATGCTAGAATTTTATTTTGTCAAAAAATTATTAAGAGCTTTCTTACCGGAAGTCATGTGACCTCTAGCCCCGGATGTTTACGTTTGTGAGAGAGTGAAAAGGGCGCGAAAAGTGTAAACGATGTATGTTCACGGTGTTTCATGATTGTACCAAGAAATAAATAAACGTGATTAGTGGACATCAGTTCGATGCGTAACATTCTTTCAAGGCCAGAGTAGTTACAGTGTGTTTATACGTACCTTTGCGTTTGGTTGTTGGAAAGGGAGATGAGGAGGCGCTACCGTGGATTTCCGGAGGGGAAAGCTCACTGATGTCAAATTCCATGGGAAACACCACATTGCCTGAAACACACGATTAGTGCCATGAGTTAGTGAAGCAAATTACAGAACATGGCACACTTATTCACAAGTCAAAACGTTTTTATAGCGGCCAAGAATAGCTAGCGAGCTAGCTAGCTGTTATTAGCTAGCTATGTTCCGGCCTGCTAACAGTGTTACCCAATTCAACCTAGCATTGCTAACTCAATCTACCGAGCAAATAAAAGTACATCTGAGACCAGTATTGTGCAGATTAAAACAGTAAAGTGCATGTAGTATATTTTACATTCGATTAGTGCCATGAGTTAGTGAAGCAAATGACATAGCGGCCGAGAATAGCTAGCTAGCTGATAGCCAATTCAGCCTAGCATGGCTAGCTCGATCTACCGAGCCAATAAAAGTACATATGTGACCATTATTGCGCAGATTAAAACAGTGCAGTGCATGTAGTATATTTTACCTAATTCGTCGTCGTCCTTGGACAATTCAACCTCCCACCCCATCGTGCTAGAAGCGATGGTCTTTGCGGTACCGGAGAATGAGGGTCTGTGGCCAAGCAGAGCATCCAAACGATCGTACCACTTGCTGGTCTTCCGACCGTTACCACTCTTGTTGTTGTGGTCTTTTATTTTTTTGTAGTCCTGCTTCAGTTTCTTTATCTTGTCCCGGCATGATTTAGCGCTGTGGACGATTCCGATGGCCGCTAACTTTTGCGAAATACACTCATACATTTTCGCGTTGGAAAATGCCTTCAGCAGAAGTCCCTGGATCGCGTCGTCCGCGTATATATCCAGAAGCGCCGACACATCATCATCACTCCACCGCTCCACTGATTTCTTTGGTGTTGTCATATTGCCAACTACTGGTTTGCAAAAAAGTAATCTCTTCGTTGCTATGCTGAGATTTTAATGCGTGCAAGTGAAATGGCTGCTTTATAAAACTTTTTGGGAGTTGTACGGGGCGTGGTTTGCATTCCGCACAGCCAATCAGACGTACAAACTATTTTCTCCCACGACAGTCCCTGCTCTCTAGCAGGGACTGAACAGCGGGTCAGACGAACTAATTTGAACTACTTTAGTTCCTGGGGCTTTTTGGTGTGAACGCAAATATATCGTAGTTCTGATGAACTATTGTGGGAAAAGTACTCCAAAGTACTCCGGTGTGAACGCGCCTTTTGTTGGGGAGTTACCTGGTTCCACTCGCAGTGAGGGAGGAGCAAGCTGATTGGCTGATGCATGCTCATTTCATCATGCATGTATTTTTATATTCTAAAACATGTTTTCGATGGACGAGAGTGAAAATGGAACGGCACCCGCAATTTGTTTGTATATCAGTCTGTTCTTCTTCTCTGTCTTCCGGTTGTTGCCTATTTTGAATGACGAATACACACTACCGCCGCCTGCTGGTAAGGAGAGTTATTGCCACTCACGCATGCGCAGTTCGTACGTGCTCGGCTGAAGTAAAGCGGTGCGACACACGGCCAATACGCAGGAGAACTCGTCGATGGATCTGTCGGTGTCGGATGTCGGCGAGTTCTCTGGTGACTGCCTGGTGTGTCAGGGCCTTTACCTGGAGAGTCCTTACCTGGAGAGTCCTTCCAGTCCTTACCTGGAGAGTCCTTACCTGGAGTCCTTACCTGGAGAGTCCTTACCTGGAGAGTCCTAACGGTACGTCCACACAGCAGCGTTAAAAAAAATCTTGGAGGTGGGCGTATCTGAAGCTTGGGGATTTTTTGCGAGCAAGGCACCAACAACCAATCACATGAATCTCCCGCCCCTGACATACGAAGCAAAAAAGCCCGAAGTAAACTGGATATAAACTCCCCAAACAGGCGAAAACATACCACTGTCTCTGCCACCTCCCTCCATGCCTGGCTCCTCCGGTTTGTATCCCGGTAGGTAAATAGGGACTGGTCATAAAGCACCGGGTGATTCCCTACCGCTCATTTCTCCTCCATGTTTTGGAATATGAGGAAATGACCTGCGGTATGTCTCTCCCAGCATACACGCCGTTTGATTGGCTAGCGCTTGAACTGTCAGATTTGCATACACAGGATTTGATTGGCTGACGCTTCCACCTCAGCTTCAAAAGTTGAACATTGCTCAACTTTGAATCCTGAAAATCCTGAAAATCTCCGCTCAGCTTCCCACAATGCTGTTCGGCGAAAAGTGAGGCAAAGTGACGTCACCCCATTCAAAGTGAATGGGCAGAAGCGTTCCAAGATTTTTTAACGCTGCTGTGTGGACGGGCCGTTACCTGGAGAGTCCTTCCCTGGAGAGTCCTTACCTGGAGAGTCCTTACCTGGAGAGTCCTTCCCTGGAGAGTCCTTACCTGGAGAGTCCTTATCTGGAGAGTCCTTCCAAACAGCAATAATAACAATAGTTCAGTCAGACAACTCTTGTGTTTCTTTAACATGTTTATTAGAAGCAGCATATAGTTTGGCGTCTAGGCTCGGGCCTCATCACTCCACAGATATATGATATATTTATGACATATCACTCTTTATTATAAATCACTCTTTATTTATGACATATCATTCTTTATTTATGACATATCACTCTTTATTATAAATCACTCTTTATTTTGTGTATATCGCTCTTTATGTATGATTAAAGAGTGATATGTCATAAATAAAGAGTGATATGTCATAAACAAAGAGTGATTTATAATAAAGAGTGATATGTCATAAATAAAGAGCGATACACATAAAAATAAAGAGTGATTTATAATAAAGAGTGATATGTCATAAATAAAGAGTGATATACACAATAAAGAGTGATTTATAATAAAGAGTGATATACAAAATAAAGAGTGATTTATAATAAAGAGTGATATGTCATAAATAAAGAGCGATATACACAAAATAAAGAGTGATTTATAATAAAGAGTGATATGTCATACATAAAGAGTGATATGTCATAAATAAAGAGTGATTTATAATAAAGAGTGATATGTCATAAATAAAGAGTGATATATACAAAATAAAGAGTGATATGTCATAAATAAAGAGTGATATGTCATAAATAAAGAGTGATTTATAATAAAGAGTGGTATTCATTTCATTTCATTTCAAACCTTTATTTATCCAGGTTGTATCCCATTGAGATCATTGACCTCTTTTTCAAGGGAGACCTGCTCAAGTAGGTTCCGCATGAAACATTAAAAACATAAACAGAACAACAACAAGGACATCATACAGTAGCATTACAGGGATTACAGTTTACATACTATCCACATGCACAGGTACCAAGAGCTTCCGATTCAGTAGCATCCAACCGAGCTTTAAAAACATTTAGTGGCACCAGATTGCTCAGTTTCCATTTTAATTGCAGACTATTCCAGGACAGAGGAGCTGCACATCTAAATGCTATTTTCCCTAAGACAGTCCTAGCAGTTGGCACATTTAATAAAACCACAGCATCTCAGGCAGTAGCCACTTACAATTCGCCGTGAGATCAGGGAGCAGATGTAGGATGGAAGTTTTCCTAACATGGCTTTATATATAAAAATGTACCAGTGACTGAGCCTCCGTACAGTTAGTGAAGGCAGACCAGCCCTTGCATACAGGGTACAGTGATGAGTTAATGCTTTACAGTTTGTCACAAATCTCAGTGCACTGTGATACGCAGCATCTAACTTGATCAGGCAATGGGCAGGTGCATTCATATAAATCAGATCACCATAGTCCAGCACAGGTCAAAAGGTCACAGAGCCTTTTTCTGGCCTCGAGCGAGAAACAGGACTTGTTCCTGTAGAAGAAACCTAGTCTAACCCTCAGTTTTTTAAGCAGGTTATTGACATGACGTTTAAAAGTGAGACAATCATCAAGCCAGATACCAAGGTATTTATAACAGGCAATCACTTCAAGTTTTATTCCTTGCGTAGTTAAAATATCTAAAACAGGCTCTGGTGTCTTTTTGGCTTTTGAAAAGAGCATTACCTTGGTTTTATCAACATTTAAAAGAAGCTTTAGTTCAGAGAGCTGAGTCTGAATAATGTTAAAAGCAGTTTGCAATTCAACAACAGCCTCCTTAATGGAGGGACATGCACAGTACATAACGGTATCGTCCGCATAAAAATGTAAGGTTGCTCCATCGACATTTTCACCTAAACTATTGATGTAGATGGAGAATAAAAGTGGACCTAAAACAGAACCTTGAGGAACACCATTAGTAATGTTTAACCACTCAGAAGACAGCCCATCAAAGTGAACACATTGGGACCTTTCAGAGAGGTAGTTCACAAACCACCCACTGCATGGCTGGATAAGCCAATACTGAGTAGCCTCTGCTTTAAGATGCGATGATCGACGGTATCAAACGCTTTGGAAAGGTCAATAAATAGAGCTGCACAGCTCTGCTTATTATCTAAAATACTCGCCACATCATTCACCACTTTCATTGTGGCAGTGATGGTGCTATGTTGCTTTCTGAAGCCTGACTGATGTTTAGACAGGATGTCATTTGTACATAAAAACACCTTTACCTGTTCACTCACTAGGCGTTCAAGAACCTTAGCCAGAACTGACAATTTAGAGATGGGCCTATAATTATTTAAAACCGTTGCCTCCCCTCCTTTCAGCAAAGGCAGGACATACGCTGACTTCCATACTTTTGGAATTGTGTTTGTGCTGAGGGAGAGGTTAAAAAGAGAAGTGAGAGGTGGAGCAATAAAATCTGCAGCTATCTTTAAAAAGAAAGGTTCCACGTTGTCCGGGCCAGCCGGTTTCTTAGGATCTAACTTGGTTAAAGCTTCACGAACAACATCAACAGTAAAAGGAGTAAAACTGAAAGGGTTTTCCAGACCACATTGTTCAGAGTCACAGACTGTGGTGTTCACAGAAGCAGAGTTAGTCACAGAATCAAACAGAGAGCCACAGGACACAAAATGCTCATTAAAGCAATGTAACATAGTAGCCCTGTCCGATATAGAGCCAGATGCTGTGGTAATGCACGGAGGTAGCTCATTACGGATCTCACCGGTGGATAGCGATTTTATGGCTTTCCAAAATTTCCTAGGATTATTCAGGTTTTCTGTGGTAACTGACAAATAGTACTTTGACTCAGCACTTTTGACCTGTGAAGTGAAGCTATTTCTTAGTTGCCTAAAACGCAGCCATTCTACCTCTGAGCCTGATTTCCTAGCCTTTGCCCAGGCCTTGTTTCTCTCATGCAGGAGACAGGACAGTTCAGCAGAAAACCAAGGATTGTCTCGTCCCTTTACTCTAAAAGTACGTAGGGGTGCATGTCTATCTATAATTTCCATAAAACCAAGATAAAAATAAGACCATGCAGTTTCAACATCAGCACACAGATCGATTTTTCCCCAATCAAACCCAAACAGATCATGAACAAAACCCTGCTCCACAAAATGTTTTATGTCTCTCTTAATAATAATACGGGGTTTAACCTTTTGGACCTTAGTGTCCCTAATTGTGGCTACAACACAGTGGTCACTCACATCATTTGCAAATACTCCCACAGATGGGTATTTATAGGGAACATTAGTTAGAATGAGATCAATTAGGGATGATTTATTTGGGGACTTAACGTTAGGGCGAGTAGGACTGTCTACAATCTGAGTAACATTCAGAGAGATACAAAGGTTTTTTAAATCCTCTGATACTGCAGTTAACCAGTCCCAGTTCAAATCTCCAAGTAGCACTATTTCCTTATAGTCTAGTTGTGATAAAAGTTTTGCTAGTGAAGACAAGGAGTCCTTGACAGCTGAGGGGGTCTGTAACACCCCACCACCATGACTTGTTGCCCCTTTGCCACTTCTATATTTAAGGCTAAAAATTCGAATTGCTTACTGATAGATTTGGAGATCAATGTGGTTACACTGAACTTAT